GCCAACCCACTTTCCCCCTAAAAATTAACATGTATTAGTTTTACCAGGTTTTTTTTTGTTTGGTGACATTTATATTCATGCAAATAGTATTTCCTGATCACCAGTGTACTTTACCCTCTCTAAAATTCTCTTTTATCCCCCCCCCCAAAAAAAAACAATTTCAACAGGTTGCATTGTTCTATTTGCATATATGCAAATAAACGACTTTGAACATCTTCATCTTCATTTTCCCTCCCTCTCCTGCAACAGAACCTCTTATTTTCCTGTCATTCAGTATTTCAGTATTAAAAAAAAGATGAATTTTCATTGGACCAGGGTGGTTTTGTTTTGTTTTGTTTTTTGTAAATCATGGTATTATTTCACAAGTATTTCACAAGTGCATAGCTTATATTTTGTTCAGATTAAGCCCCTCAATTCTGATTCCCCTCTCTTTTCTGGTATCCCCTTTTCGGCCACTTTGGAAAGCAACTTTTAGACAACTTGCCTCCAATCCTCCCTGCAACTCGCCCCCTCCCCCCCACTACACACTGAGCATGTGCATGGCTTCATATCCAACAACAACAAAAATAACTTAACAACTGGGTGTCTATACTGGAAGCCTAAATGCATACATACAAATATATATATTGCGAGACAAATTTCCTGCAAAAAATATGTATATTAGTTTTTAATTAGATTATTATCAAGGATGTACTTAAAATGTAGAGAATGCTTAGAATTTGTGATTAAGTATCATAGCCTCAAAAGCTCTTTGACAAAATAAAATATGTGAAATTTGTTTTTTTGACTGAAGCAATTTACATGCCTAAGATGTTGATATTTTTGAGACCATCACTAGTATTTTGACGTTACTTGAACATATTTCTAATAATCTATTTGAATAATGTGAGAGTTCTAATTTCTTAGAGGATGCCTGTGTTTAAGATATGTAGGCAAATATGCTCCAGACACTAAATGTTGCTCTTATTATTTAGAAGAACATATAGACATATGCTAGGTTTTCTTTTTTCTTTTTTCTCCCAGTCCTGGGCTTGAACTCTGGGCCTGGGCACTGTCTTTTGTGCAAGGCAGACACTCTACCAACTGAGCCACAGTGCTGCTTCTAGCTTTTTTGAGGTTTTTTGTTTGTTTGTTTTTGAGATAATGGTCTCACAGATTTTTTTTTTTTTTTTTTTTTTGGCCAGGGCTGGCCTTGAATTGCGATCCTCAGGTCTCAGCTTCCTGAGTAGCTAGGATTACAGGTGTGAGCCACTGGCACCCAGTCCTAAATTTTCTTTGTTGCAGTATTTTCTAATTTTCTTTTCTCCAGTACTAAGGAATGAACTCAGGGTCCTGGGCACACAAGGCAAGTGCTCTGCCACTTGAGCTACATGATCAGCATTTATTTTTGTATCTTGTTTTTAAGATGGGGTGGCTAACATTGCCTGGGCTGACCTCAGACTCAATCCTTCTGTCTTACTCCTCAATTAGCTGAGATTACAGGTATGTACTACCACACTTAGCTATTGTAGTATTTCATTGGCCATTGAGAAATATTTTTGGTCTTTCAATTTTTGTTTTGTTTTGGAGATGGAGTTTCACTAGGTAGCTCAAGCTGGCTTTGAGCTGAGGTTACAAGTGTCTGGTCATATGCCTAGTTTTGTACCCAAAACTCATTGATTATCTCTTATTAATTATACAAAATCTGCCCTGCTTTTTTTTTTGGCAGTTTTTGGGTTTGAGCTCAGGGCTACAGTCTCCCTTGTACTGGGACTATATAGGTGTATGTCACTGCTCCCAGTTTATGTGTTGAGATGAGATCTTGTTAATTTGTTTTTCTATGCTGGCAATTTATTCTGCTTCAGATTTCTGCTTACATGTAGCAAGGATTACAGGTGTGAGCCACTCACTGTACTTGCCAATTATCTATTTTTTATTTTTATTTTTTGTGAACATACTGTACAGAGGGGTTACAATTACATGGGCATATCTTTTTTTTTAAAAGTAGGACAATGCTAGCTTGCAGAATCTTGGGCTTTAGAGGTGTCAAAGGTCACATCTCAGCTAGGTCTGCATCCTTTACCCATCTTCTCATCATCACACTTTTTTTTTTGGTCCGGTCGTGGGGCCTGAACTCTGGGCCTGGGCGCTGTCCCTCAGCTCTTCAGCTCAAGGCTAGCGCTCTACCACTTGAGCCACAGCGCCACTTCTGGCTTTTTTCTTTTTGCTTATGTGGTGCTGAGGAATGAAACTCAGGGCCTCAGGCATGCAAGGCAAGCGCTCTACCACTGAGCCACCTTCCCAGCCCCTCATCATCACTCTTATTAGATAAGCATTGATGCTTGGCTTGCCTAACTGCAGAAGCAGCTAGAAAGGCCTTTTTTTTTTTTTCCTTCTGTACTGTGATTCTTACAACTTAAAAGCAGAATTCTTTTTCTTTTGTTCAAGGAGAAAAGTGGAGAATAAATGAATGGGCTAGCAAAAAGCCAAGCTGGAGGTGTGGCTCAAGAGGTAGAGTGCCAACCATGAGCAAGCAAGTCAAACTAGTGCAAGGTCCCAAGTTTAGGTTCCAGTAACAGCAAAACAACAAAACAACAAGCGATGAAGTTCATTACTTGTATTCATTAGGCATGGAATAACTGTTAGTTTCTATCATTTTCTGAAAAAGTAGAAAAATTATTCACCCATATGTTTTATTACACAAACAAGTGTCAAATGGCAATATAATTCTAAAACCTGTTTCTTAGCAGTTTTTTTCCCCTTTCTTTATTTGTGTCTTGAAATCTAGGCCTGGGCACTGTCCCTGAGCTCCCTGAGCTCTTTTTGCTGAAGGCTAGCACTCTACCACTTGGGCTATAGCAGCACTTCTGGCTTTTTCTGCGATTAATTGGAGCTAAGTCTCACACACTTTCCTGCCTGGGCTGGCTTTGAACCACGATTCTCAGATCTCAGGTTCCTGAGTAGCTAGGATTATAGGTGGGAGCCACCAGAGCCCGGTTTTACCTGGTTTTGAACATCAAGAAATGAAAAAAAAAAGAATACAAAGAAAGCTCTAGTTAGTGCATTGTTGGCTAAGTGAATAGATTTGCTATCTGTGACTTCTGTACTTAAGAGTTCTTACACATGCCCGGGGATGGTGGAGCTGTGGATCGAGCTGACTGTAATAACAGCTAGACATCTGCAGAGGGCGCCATTGCAACTCCTACTTTCTTTGCAGTGCTAGTTGTTTTTAATTTTTTAGAAGTTAGTGGCACAAACTCTCAGCCTTTGAGGAGTAGGCTTCTCTGGAAACTGTCTCATGGCGTCATCCCTAAAGGAGTAACACAGGCAAACGCGTGATCCTGACAATTCAGTGTACAAACACCTTTGATCAAGTGAACTCATTTTTCCAAGTGAGTTTCATAGTTAAGGCAGTGTTAATGCCCGAGAAGGAGGCAAATTCAGCCTATACTATTTGTTTTCTCCAGAATAGGTGACTCTAGCTCAAACTTTTAACATGTTTGCCTAAAGGCCTTTGCATATGAAGTGCTACAGTTCTAGGAGATAGATTATTTTATTATTCCTTTGCCCCTATTATTTATATAGAAAGGTTAAGTAATGCAAAGACTTACTGTAAATTTGTAGCAGAATTAGGACCTGTGCCAAAGCAGAGAAGATGGTATGTGTGTATGTTTTTTATTTAGTTATTTATTTTGTACCAGGCTGAACTCAGGGCCTGGGTGCTGTCCCTGAGCTAGTTTGCTCAAGACTAGTACTTCACTAGTTGAGTCACAGCTCTATTTCTGGCTTTTTGGTGCTTAATTGGAGATAAGAGTCTTTCCTGACTGAGCTGGCTTTGAGCCTTGATCCTCAGATCTCAGCCTCCCAAGTAGCTAGAATCACAGGTGTGAGGCACCGGTACCTGGCTATTTCTTAATTATTTTTGTAGTATTGGGGTGTGAACTGTGGGTATGTGAGGCAAACACTCGACAACTAAGTTATATTCCCACTCCTTGATTTTTCCAGAGAGGGTTAGGATTGTGACTCTGGCCTCGAACGCACTAGGTAGCCCAAGCTGGCTTAGAACTCATGATCATCCCACCTCCACCTTCCCAGTGTTGGATGACAAATCTACACTACTCTGCTTGGTCAGGGCAGGATCGTATGTGTTCTTAAAAAAATTAAGTAGCCGGGTGCTGTGGCTCTCGCCTGTAATCCTAGCTACTCAGGAGGCTGAGCTCTGAGGATCATGGTTCAAAGCCAGCCCAGGCAGGAAAGTCCATGAGACTCTTGTCTCCAATAAACCACCAGAAAACCACAAGTGGTGATGTGGCTCAAGTGGTAGAACACTCACCTTGAGCTGAAGAGCACAGGGGCAGCGCCTAAGCCCAGAGTTCAAGCCCCATGTCTGACAAAAAAAAAAAAAATAAAGCTATTCTGCACAAGATGTGTTGGATTAGCTTAAGGAGGTTTCAGAATTCTGTAAATAGGTCTCTGTCCTATATGGAGATAAGATGTCTTCTAGGTCTTAAGTCCTACAGTTGCTAAAATAAACAAGGCCTAATATATACCAACTGTTAGTGCTTTCCTGCTAATCCTTTCAAGAGATTAGTTTAATCTGTACTCATCAATGAGATTATCAGTCCTTACTTCAGTCCCTACGTCCCTACCGCAAACGAATGACCACTCATTTAACAGAGCTGTTAAAGAAAATGACGAGCCAAGTGCTGGTGGCTCACTCCTCTAATCCTAGTTAAAATAGAGGCTGAGATCCAAGGATCACAGTTCAAGAAAGCCTTTTTTTTTTTCTTTTTTTGTCCATCATGGGGCTTGAACTCTGGGCCTGGGCACTGTCCTTCAGCTCTTCAGCTCAAGGTGAGCACTCTACCACTTGAGCCACAGCACCACTTCCAGTTTTCTGGTGGTTAATTGGAGATTCGAATCTCCTGAATTTTTTGCCCAGGTTGGCTTTGAACCACGATCCTCAGATCTCAGCCTCCTGAGTCGATAGGATTATAGGTGTGAGCCACCAGGCCTGGCTTTTTTTTTTCCCCTGTGAGATTCTTATCTCTAATTAATCACCCCCCAAACCCCTCAAGCAAAAAAACAGCCAGAAGTAGAGCTGTGGCTCAAGTGGTAGAACACTAGCCTTGAGCAAAAGAAGCCCAGGGACAGTGGCCTGGCCCTGAGTTCAAGCCCCAGAAAAACAACAACAACAACAAAAGAAAATGGTGTGTGAAGAGCAGAGCTGGGTCTTCTGACAGAGAGCAATGTGCTGTGAGCTTCTGGACAATGAATCTCAACACTGACTGTCAGCAGAGAACTGGGATTCTCTTTGGAAACTTTGCCCAGGGTCACCAAGTGCAAAGTCTTTAGGAGAGAAGCAGATAGCAGGGCGGGGACATGAGATATCCTTAACTGCCCATTCATCAGAGGGCTTCCATTTCTCACTTCTGACAGACAATAGCAGTGTGGCGAAGATGGCACATCCCTGATTCAGGTCTAAGACGAACGATCACACAGCCAGGAGGAGAGGCGCCCGGGTCCTGGGTTTGGAGGAGACAGCTGGGAACCAGGTCTGCTTGGTGATTTGCAGGGAATGCTGCGCTCCAAGGGGAACTCAGCTCTCAAGGTAGCACCTTTTCTTGGTGCCCATTATGAGGCCTGAACTCAGGGCCGGGTGCTGTCCCTGAGCTTCTTTATGCTCAAGGCTAGGACTCAATCACTTGAGCCACAACTCTACTTCCGGCTTTTGCTTTGCAGTTTATTGGAGATAAGAGTCACAGATTTTCCTGCTGGGGTTGGCTCACTCAAAAGAAGTTTTTCATAGAGTCTATTATACTTCAGTTAATTCATCTGTAATCACTTGCATACCACCCAGAGTGTTTATTTATAAGCTTATAGGCACATTCTAGCTATCACAAATGAGATAAACTATATAACCTTAGTTTCTCTGGGTCTGGCTTACTTCAGTTAATTTTTTCCAAGTCTTACCATTTGTAAGGAAATGGATGGGTAGAATTCCATGGTGTGTGTATGTGTGTGTGTGTGTGTGTGTGTGTGTGTGCGTGTGTGTCACATTTTCTTGATCCATTCACCCATTGAAGATCATCTGGGCTGATTCTATATCTTGGCTATGGCAAGTAGTGCAGCAATGAACATGGTTGTATTGACTGTAGCCATGTCTGTGTTCTGTTAGACTCTATGGAGAGATCAAATTGTTTAATTTCGTAGAAAGATGAGGTCCAAGTCCAGGAAACGGATACATCTAAGAGGGGTGGGGTCAAGGGGAGAGTAATAGATGAATCAAAGGAGAGGGAGGGGAAATGCAATCAATAATTCATTGTATAGACCACAAAATGTGTGAAATCCCATTGTATATAGCTACCACATTTTTTTGGATCCACTCATCTGTTTGGGGTTGTTTCCATATCTTGGCTATTGTGAGTAGTGCCACAGCTATTTCATTTCTTTTCTAATTATTTCAAATCTGCATATGTTGGTTTTTTATCTCATAGCAAACCGAATGAGTGACTAATATTTCGACGCGATCAATTAAACCTGGCTCAGCACTCTTTACATGAGGTATTGCTTCATAATTAAATTTAAGTTCATAAGCAGACAAATGGAACATGTGATGTGAAGAACAGCAGGCTCTGAGGACAGCGCCAGTACTTTGCCAGTACTCACGAAATTTACCATTCACGAGACATTCGTGAACAATGAACAAACACGCAAGGCACCATGCCAAAGCTGCCCTAGCATGAGCCAACCTATGCAACTTGAGTTTTCAGACCTCTGCTCTCGTGATTACCAATGGAGAAGAATCACTTTGCACTTAAAAGCCCACGTAAAGCCTTGAAATAAAGAGGACAAAGTGTTTCAGAAAGACAAAAACTAGACAGTACCTATCAGGCTGTACGTGAGCAAGTACATAGAAAGCCAGGAGAGGAAACTGTCCTCAGAAAATAGTGAGAATAATGTGGTTACATGCGACTGGAGTGGAGGGCACGTGATAAAAGGCAGAGAGTTTAGTTGGAGTCACCGTAGTGAGGGACAGGCAGAAAGAGAAAGACAGGGAGAAAAGGCAGCCTGATGGAAACGACGCCCTTCTTCCCAAGGACCCTGGAGCAGCCCACTGACAGGACAGTTACCCCTTCCCATGGAGGAGATGGGCCCAGGGAACCACCAGGAAGCCAAAGAGCCGAGACACCCAAAGAGACCACACAAGCACTGCAAGCAAACTGATCATTTCTGGGTTCCCTCTCCTTCTCCCTCTCCCTCTTTCTCTCTTTCCCTCTCTCCCCCTCATTCCTCTCTTCCTCCTCCCCCTCCTCTTTCTTTTCGTTTTTATTGTTTCGCCAGTCTTAGGGCCTGAACTCATGGCCTGAGCACTGTCCTTGAGCAAAAGAAGCAAGTGCTCTACCTAGGCAAGCACTCTACCACTAAGTCACCTTCCCAGCCCATCCTCTTACTTTCAAATAATCTTTGCCTCTGCTCCCATTCCCCTGCCTCATAATTCTTCATTTGAAAAGGAAAGACCCAAGATGGTATCCATTAAAGATGTTGGAAACGATATCAAATTGTTCGACTATTTTTCTGTAGGCCACTACAACACAAACTGATCCCCAAGTTGTTATGAGACTTCTGATGGCAAACAACATGGTTTGTTTATTTGTTTATTCATTTTGGTTGGGCCTGGGATTGCAATCAGGCCCCTGAAATTGTGAAACAGGTAACGCTCTACCAGTTGAGCCACGCTTCTGGCCCCTGTCTGCACTGGTTATTTTTGAGGGAAGGTCTCACTTTATGCACAGGCCATGTTGAGTTGTGCTCCATCTTCTACTGCTTCTCCTGGTTGAAAGGGATGATAGAACCTGGAGCTGGTGGCTCAGACCTGTAATCCTAGCTAGTCAGGAAACTGAGATCTGAGGATGTCATGGATTAAAGCCAGTCTGGGCAGGAAAGTTCTTAAAACTGTTATTTCCAATTAACCACTAAAAAGCCAGAAATGGAACTGATTAGCCTCGAGCTAAACAGCTCAGGGACAGCATCCAGGCCCAGAGTTCAAGCCCCTGGACAGGCACACACACAAAAAAATCTGAAAGCATTCCAAGCAATGTGAAAACTCACTAGTGAAACCAATGAGCTCATACCACCCATGAATCACTGAGCAATTTTGCTCAAGGACAGTACTCTACCACTTTAAGCCACAGCTCCACCTCCAGTTTTGGTTAATTGGGGATAAGCGTCTCACAGATACCAGGTACTGGTGGCTCATGCCTATAATCCTAACTATGATCTGAGGATCACAGTTCAAAGCCAGCCCAGGCAGGAAAGTCCATGAGACTCTTATCTCCAATGAACCCCCAGAAAACCAGAAGTGGCACTGTGCCTCAAGTGATAGAGCATTTACTTTGAGCTGAAGAGCTGAGGGACAGCATCCAGGCCCAGAGTTTAAGCCCCACAACTGACAAAAAAAAAAAAAAGAGCACCCAAAGCGAAAGAGTTCAGAGCTAGCACCCAGGCCCTGAGTTCACTCCTATGATAGACAAAAAAATATAAATTATATTTTTAAGTACACATTTCAGTAGCATAAGATAGATTTCCATTGTGACATAACCAGTACTATGTCCATCTCCAGAATTCTCCATCATCCCCCGTTGAGTCTCTATACCATTAAACAATAACTCCTCACAGTCTCCATGTATTAGTGCTCTGGGCCTTCTTCTAAGTGCATAATACTTTATGTCTGGCTCCTTTGGCATAACATATTGCTTTCAGGATGGCACATGTTTTTAAATAGATGGCCAGAGTTCTATTTAAAAAAAAAAAAAGAAAGAAAGAACTACATATTACAGTTGACTCTAGTTAGAATTTCTTTTTGGGGGGGTCTGGTCGTGGGGCCTGAACTCTGGGCCTGGGCGCTGTCCCTCAGCTCTTCAGCCCAAGGCTAGTACTCTACCACTTGAGCCACAGCACCACTGCCTGCTTTTTTTTTCCTGCTTATGTGGTGCTGAGGAATCGAACCCAGGGCCTCATGTATGCAAGGCAAGCGCTCGACCACTGAGCCACCTTCCCAGCCCTCTAGTTAGAATTTCTAACAAAAACTCATACAAATTCAAATGTAAAGGTACAGCTCTGATGGATATAAAGACATTAAAAGTGTCCTCACGAAGTTGATCTGTAATAAAAGGGGCGGAGGCACTAAGAGCTTAAGAACTAGTTTCCTCCATTATGGTGACTTGCTGGGAGCCCGTGCCACAGTTATCTTCTAGAGACCAACCAACCTCATGCAAAGCCTGCAAAAGGCTCTGCTGATGCCGAACTACCCAGAGTCTAGCAAACATCACAGAAGCCTTTATCCACCAGAAATGAGAGCACAGACTGAGGAGAACCATGCTTTCGTTTGTCCCAAATGGCTCCCTTTCAAGTCTTAAATGGCAGACTATAACTTGATTAGCACTCAAATCAAAAGCAAAATGTGACTTTTGCTACTCTGGGAAGCTCTCACAGGAGAAGCAAACAGGGAGAATAAATGTGTATCTTACAAGGAAGAATTGCTGAAGGAAGAGGAAGGTATAGTCTTGCATTCTTCCCATCTCCTGAAATCATTTCGCTCCTAGACTGCTTACAACATTGGTCCTAATGGCTCTTCCATCTTAGCCCTAACATACGAATTCTCATGGCCTTACTCTCTACTAAAGCATCTTTTACAGTCAGAATCGCCTGTGAAGAGTTTCAATTTGGTAATTATGTTTTATTAAAATCTCTAATCCACTTATGTAACTATAACCTCCCCTGTACATCACCTATATAATATCAATTTAAAAAACAATCTCTAATCTCCAATGGCAAAGTTCAACACTTAAAGTCTTCCCTCATTCAGTCTCTTGAGGAACAGCTCAACAGCTGGAAATTAGCCATGCCATCTTGTCTACCTACAGAAAAGCACTTCTTCCCTGTGCATCACAAATTATATATCACAAACTACACATACACACACACACACACACACACACACACACACACACACACACACACACACACACACACACGACCATCTAAGAGGAACCTGCTTGCCTACAATACTCTGACTTCTCCTGTCGTCTGGCATCTGCTCGGACCCTCCTTTAACTTGAGTTGGTGAAAATTAAGTTCCTAACCTAATAGAATGAGTTGTGTTTTTTAGGTGGGTAAGCTTGGGGGGCACGGGGAGCAGGACAAAACAAGGCAGCCCCCATGTGGAGTAGACTCCCTTACAGCATGCACTTACATCGCCTCTGCCTAGTTTTCCATTTTAGCAAAATGACAGACTACCTTTAATTACTTCCTAGTGTTATTAGGAAGAACATGTCATTAATCAGCACAACGCATCTTGAAGAAGAAATGCAAAACAAAATTCTCTTGTACTACGTGGCAAGCTCTTCTCACACACAATAACGAGTCCTCTTACAGGATCATATTGAATTCTTCTGTTATTTAGGGCAGGGGAACTCCCACTGCTATTGATTCCAATTTGATACTGTCTTTCCCCAGACTCTATGGCAAGTATCTTAAAGGATCCCACAATTACCTGAGCATCTAAAGTTAAAACTTGAATAAATGAACCTCCATTTGTGCCGTGGAGCATCGCAGAACCAAGAATTACAAACCCACAGTCTGAACTAATGACATTTGTGGCACCTACTAGCTTCTCACTTGGTTTTCACCCATCATTTTCTACTTCCTGTTATTTCTGATGCATGTTTTTTTTTTTTCCTATTGTTAGCCACCAACCTTAATTGTTTTTTCTTTTTTTTTGTTGGTCGTGGGGCTTGAACTTTGGGCTTGGGCACTGTCCCTCAGCTCTTCAGCTCACAGCGAGCCCTCTACCACAGTGCCACTTCCGGTTTTCTGGTGGTTTGTTGGAGATAAGAGTCTCACAGACTTTCCTGCCTGGGCTGGCTTTGAACCGTGATCCTCAGATCTCTGCCTCCTGAGTAGCTAGGATTACAGGCATGAGCCACCACCTCACCAACCTTAATTCTCTAATATGTCCGTATTTATTTTCCCCTTCTTTAAACAAAGTACAGATGACCCTAATCTGAAATCCCTCCTAAGTGGCTTATAGTGGAGTAAAAATAAAATAGGGGTATATGACATTTGGTTAAATAATAAGTCGCCCCTTATTTGATTTTTACTATTAGTTGTACTTTGTAATGAAAAAAATACAAAGTACCATATTCACCAAAAATAAAAGGAAAGAAATTCTGCATGATTTTACAGCCAACCAAATCAAAATCAAACCTATGTTCTCTTTCTCTGATTTGTCTTTCAAGGAGAGTTTTCGCAGTTCTAAGAAAGTAGCCACTAACTTCTGTGTCTGATTTCAGAGTCTCCATACTGCATCCAAGTATCAGAGAGCTATGATCTTTGGATATTCATTCTAGAACTTTTTTTCCAATACAATGTAAGAGGAATTTTACTGAACTGAGATTCTTGGTGCTGCTAACTGACAGAGGCTGTATCCCATAGCCTTCTCCTCCTCCTCTTCCTCCTCTTCCTCCTTCTACTTCCCTCCTCCTTCCTCCCTCCCCTTATTGATGTATGACTCCTAAGAACTTGCTCCCTCCAACCTCCCTTACGCCCTGTGTTCCTCTGGGAGCCGCCATGTTTGCTAAAGCTGAAATGTCGTGATGATGGATGACAACCAGCTACTCCATTTGGGGCTAGAGGCCTGCGATCTGTCATTACAGGCCAATTTGTTCTCAGTGGGTCTAAGAAGAGACAAAGAAGGAAGATAAAATGGCACCTTGTTTTCTATCCTTTTAACTAAACCACTGTAGTCCTATTGGAACTGGGGGTGAGCCATCACGAGACTCAATACAGCTTGTGAGTTATTGAAGTGAGGCAGCCGAGGCCCTCTAAGCCCTCAGGCTCGCTTCTTGCTTCCCTTTGGATTTTCAGATGCACAGAAACATCTAAAAACACCTCAGAGCATTTAACTTAAACCCCACTCCACAGCGGTTCTGTTCTCACTTGAACCCTTGGCACGTTCCTCATCTCCCCAGACTCGCTCAGATCCTAATGCGTAGATGATCCTCGGGTTCATTTCTGCCAGTGCTAGTTAGCTTTCCAGCAGGAGGCCTGCCGAAGCCTCCTTCTATCTCCTTTATCTCCAGTGAATATCAAATCACATTTCACCACAGAAAAGTTAGAAAGACTACATCAGCTTTATTAAAGCTGTAAATTTTGTGGGTTTAAAAAAACAAAAACAAAAACTTGCCAAAGCCTGTGCCCCTTAGAATCCTCTAAGAGCAAAAGAAATGTTGTTTCTTGATTCTCAACTTAGTCTTCCAACCACTCAGACTAATAGGGTAGTTCCCATGGAGCAAGCAAGGGAATCAACTGTCCCAGGATGCAAGCTACATTTCTTCTTAGACGATCTGGATGTATCCTTAGTATTATGCAAACCAAACAGAAAAACAGCACCAAGAACTGCAGAAAAGGCTGTTAGAAGGTAGAGTCTCACAGATGCATAACACTGTTTTGAATTAAATCTCACATGAAAGGGGTAGGGACATGGCCCAAGTGGTAGAACACTCACATGGCATGTGTAAGAACCCAGATATTATCCTCAATACCATTTTTTTAAAAAAGAAGGAAAGAAAGATGGGCTGGGAAGGGGGCTCGGTGGCAGAGTGCTTGCTTCTCATGCATGAGGGCCTGGGTTCAATTTCTTAGCACCACATAAACAGAAAAAGCCAGAAGTGGCTCTGTGGCTCAAGTGGTAGAACGCTAGCCTTGAGCTGAAGAGCTGAGGGGCAGCACCCAGGCCCAGAGTTCAGGCCCCATGATGGAAAGAAGGAAGGAAAGAAGGAAGGAAGGAAGGAAGGAAGGAAGGAAGGAAGGAAGAAAGAAAGAAAGAAAGAGAAAAGAAAAAAGAAAAGAAAAGAAAAAGATGATGCCAGCACTGGTAGCTCATACCTACGATCCTAGCTTCTCAGAAGACTAATATCTTAGGGTAGCAGTTCAAAGCCAGCATGGACAAAAAAGTGCATGAGACTCATACCTCCAACTTACCAGCAAAACCCTAGTAGTAGAAGAATGGCTCAAATAGTAAGTGCCAGCCTTGAGCAGAGAGAGCCAAGAAAATGTACAAAGCCCTGAGTTCAAGCCCAGTACCAGCACCAAGGGGGAGGAGAAGCAGCTCACACAGTAAAATCAAGAGATGAGTTACAAAGGAGGCATAGAGCTTGTGAATGGAGTATAGAGCATGAACCGCAGGAAGTGTGGCACACATTCTAAGATAAACCCAACAATGGCTGTGTTGAAATAATGTCTCTCCACTGCCCCACCCAGGCGACTCCCATGAGCTCAGCATTTCCTTTATTCAGTGAGACAATATCAGTATGGGAAGGTGCACTTTATAAGCAGTAGAGTAATTCTTAACATTAGTGGATGATATTTTATGCATTATGACCTATTTCCAACTCCATTGTGTATGTAAAGGCTCCCATTTTCTTTCTTTCTTTCTTTCTTTTCTTTCTTTCTTTCTTTCTTTCTTTCTTTCTTTCTTTCTTTCTTTCTTTCTTTCTTTCTTTCTTTCTTTCTTTCTTTCTTTCTTTCTTTCTTTCCTTCCTTCCTTCCTTCTTTCTTTTCTTCTTTCCTTCTCTTTCCTCCCTCCTTCTTTCCTCTCCCTCTCCCTCTCTCTCTCTCTTTCTCTCCTTCTCTCTCTCCCTTTCTATTTCCCTCCCTCCCTCCCTTCCTTCTTCCTTCTTGGTTGTTGGGCTTGAATTTAGGGCCTGCATGCTGTCCCTGAGGCTCTTTCTTAAGGCTAGCACTTTACCACTTGAGCCACAGTGCCACTTTCAGATTTTTTTTGAGTGGTTAATTGGAAATAAGAGTCTCAGGGGGACTTCTCTGCCTGGACTAACTTTGAACCTTGATCCTAATATCTCCATCTCCTGAGTAGCTAGGACTACAGTTGGGAGCCACCGGTGCCCAGCTTATTTTCATTACTTAAAGAAACTTATTGCATTGGAGTTTATATCTTGTCTGCAAGCAGATGTTGATTACCATTTGATATAGGAATGAGAGATGGAATACACATGGAGCAGTGGCGGTGGTATAGTTAACATCAAGTATGATATACATATCTTGTCTTTCAACATTATACTGAATAGTTAAAATGATTCTTGTTTTGACATATTTAACAGTTTGGGTGGGGCCTGTTAGTGTACATTTCCTAGTAACTCATAAACAAAGGTGTATTGCTTCCTGTACAAAAGTGGTTGTCAATGATCATCTCCTGCCTGCTGTAGCACACGTTTTCCTAGAGCAGGTGTGCGTGTGGGGGGGTCTCAGTACATTGGTGAGGATTGTGATCCACACTCTGCAGTTTTCTTTTCTCCTTAACCCCATGAAATCACTAATGTAGAATTCAGAAATAAGTTTAAGGAACAAATAATGCTATTTGCTTAGCAAACCAGTTTGTCCACTAAGGACTTTTCCTCACTAATGTGAGAACATCCATTACTAGCAATGGAGAGCTTGCCATGAAAATGCAGCTTATTTAAGACATTTGGGACAAGGAGTGAGCTATAATCTCAGAAGAAGAGAGTAACTTCATGTGAAATAAAGGAGATGTTGAGATGAGTGCTGGACTTTGTACAACAGCCTTTGAGTGCTTATAGATATCCCTTTGTTCAAGGGAGAAATACTGAATAAGTCTAATTTTTTTGTACAACACTTCTCTGAATATTTGAAAGTATTTATTGTATCTTCAGTTGAAGACACCCCTTAGAGCTCAGATACTCATATACTCTTCATGTGTTCAATAAATACCTCTTAAATTCTTTAGGTGTTTCATCTAAAAAAAGAGAAAAAAGTATTTATTTTTTTCATATTTGGAGTGGCTGCCTTTATAGGCATTGGTGAATAGAAGCATATGCCTTATTCATATTCTGACCAGAGAAAAGATCATCAACCTTGTATCTTTCCTCTTTTCGGAAGCTTGGATTTTCCACCTGTAAAATTAGAATGAAACACTTACCCTACAGGGTTACAAGTGGAATCCATGTCAAACATCAAAGCATTTAGCATAGTGCCTGACAAGTACAAGACCTAGGAAATTTTAGTTATCTTCTTAGATAAAAATGGAAATGTTTCTAGGGATATTTAGCATAGATTAACCACAAAAGTCACATCCTAGGATAAAATAGATATCATTTCTATTTAATGCTGTTCATGGAGCTCTCCTCAAAGGCACTTGGGTAATACTCTGATTTTGTAAGTCCTGCAAAGGGGTTTCAGGTAGTTCCCAGAGGAGAATGGAGTAGGAGGCAGAAGGCTGTCCCTGAAGTCCTTCATGCACTGCTGTAGATGAGATTAGCTGAGTTACATGCTGGCCATCTAGCATAGTGGAAGCTTTGAGTCTCTAGTGACTCAAAAGGAGATTGTATTTTGGGTTACAGACCTCCCCCCTCCCCAAGCCTACATATTCGAGTCCTTTCAAATTGTTGTGCCTTGGTGTGACAAAGTGACACATGTCTGTATTCCAGAGCAACAAAAATCATCCAACTTGGACTATATAATGAGATCCTGGTTTAAACAAACAAATGATATGTCTGTATGTGATCTTTCTTCTTAGGAGTCCATTTCTCATCTTTAAGAATTTTCACTTCCATTTATATTTTCTTTGGTTGTAGAACTAAGAGGAGAACTTTAAAAAGTTTTTATTTTATTTTTTATAGTTGCAGGTCCTGGGCTTGTACTACTCAGGGCTTGGGAGCTGTCTTTGAGCCTCTTTGTGTTCAAGGCTAGTGGATCTACCACTTGAGCCACAGCACCACTTCCAGCCTTTTTTGAGTAGTTTATTAGAGATAAGAGTATCACGGACTTTCCTGCTCAGGCTGGCTTCAAACTGTGATCCTCAGATCTCAGCCTCCTGAGTAGCTAGAATTACAGTTGTGAGTCATCTGTGCTCAGGTGGAGAATTTTTTTTCAATTAAAGTATATGATATTTAGGGGCTGGGAAGGTGGCTCAGTGGTAGAGCGCTTGCCTTGCATGCATGAGGCCCTGGGTTCGATTCCTCAGCACCAAATAAACAAAAAGAAAAAAAGCCGGAAGTGGCGCTGTGGCTCAAGTGGTAGAGTGCTAGCCTTGAGCTGAAGAGCTGAGGGACAGCACCCAGGCCCAGAGATCAGATCAAAAAATAAATAAATTATATGATATGTAAGCCTTAAGTGAAATAAAAAAATGACTTATTGCAGATATCTGATGAATGTAGTTTTCTTTTTAAAATGAATCAGAAATCCCACTTCTATTGTATTGTCCTACACATACATGCTCATACATGTTGGTTTTCCAGGATGGATTGTATATACAGCCTGTTTGTTCCAGTTATATCATCTAAGTCAATTCTTTAAGTTCATTCACTGTCCTGATTTTCATTTTTTAAAAAAAGAAAGAAAAGCCAGTTGCCAGTGCTCATGCCTGCAATCCTAGGCTAAGATTTGAGGATCATGGTTTGAAGCCAGCCTGGGCAGAAAAGTCCCTGTGAGATTCTTATCTCCAGTTGACCACTCAAACACCTGAAGTGATGCTGTGGCTCAAGTGGTAGAATGCTAGTCTTGAGCACAAAGAGGCTCAGTGACAGTTCCTAAGTTCAAGCCCCATAGCTGACCAAAAAGAAAAAAAAAAGAAAGAAAGAATTATTTTTAAAAAAGTATAAAAGAAGGCAGTATTTCCTTTGGAAACTTGTAGTAAGTTGCTGAAAAACTTGAGTGGACAGGGAATCATGCTGGCCTGCTGTAGCACACCATGATACACTTGCTAAATGATTTTGGAGGGCCGGCTTCTTGGGAGTCTGGGGTTTCCAGGGCTGGGGATCTTGGTGTCTCTGGACCAGCCCCTGTCCTCAAAGTGGCTGACACCTTTTCCTTCTCTCATTTTCCAGAGATCCTAATGCATACAGGTGAGGGTGTTCATTGCTGTGTTCTTTCTAAATTAAGTTCTTCCACGTGAGTAGCCTGTAGTTATGATGTTTCTCAGCCATTTGTCGATATTACGGTAGCTTTTTATCCTCCACATTCCCTTCTGCAGCGTGTGCCCCATGTGCGTCCACAGGTGCAGCCTCTCCCTCTTTGGATGTCTCCTGCCCCCCTTCATACCTTTACTTGGTTCACTCTCCTTGCTCAGCCTCTTGTTCCTTCAGACCGCAGGAAGGAGCTGAGAGTCTAGGGGATAGCAGCAGGAGGCTGTTCATGTGAAAGGCAAATATTCCAGGTTGCACGTGAAACTGGATCATAGACCCTGTAGAATGAAGACTTTTACTTCCCTCACATGCACCTTTGTAATGCTTCTACAGTTGATGTTGATGCTCATAGCTTTTTGTTTATTTCTTTCCCTATAATCTGGAGGTCCTGGTAACCTGTAGAGTATTTCCTCCCCCCCCCCCCCCCACCAGAACTGTTCTGTTTTCTTTTCCCCTTCTTCCTTTCCTTTGGCCCTATGTCTTTCCCACTATGCACAGATACGACTTCACTTACAACTCCTTAACATGATAGGTGGAGAGTGTATGGAGTTTAAACACATCAATAGATACTTTAACTTCCAAAAAATTTAAATTACTATCTTTAAGTTGTAGGAAGGAGTTGTCATTTAACAAGGAAGTTTATGAATACAATATATATTGATCAATATCATACCTTTCAAAGTGGCGCTGTAGCTCAAGTGGTAGAGCACTAGCCTTGAGCTGAAGAGCTGAGGGACAGCGTTCAGACCCAGAGTTCAAGCCCCACGACCAACAAAAACAAACAAAAACAAAACAAAAAAACCCCCAATATCATACCTTTCAACATTCTCACCCATCCTTCTTCTATCCACCTCTCCCCTACTCTTCTTAACTTTGTAGGATATAAGTTCTTCATCCATCTATCCCTTGCTCCTTGACTCCATTCAACCCCTTTTGAATACCTGCTTCCTGGTATTTTATTTTGCTGAACTTTCATTTTTGGCTTTGAATCTACTGTATTTCAGTAAATGATTTTTTTTTTTTTTGTTCTAATCCAGGGGCTTGAACTTAGAGCCCCTCTCCGACCTCTGACCTCAAGACTAGCTCTCTACTACTTCACTCAGCTCCACTTCTGGCTTTTTGGCTAGTTAATTGCAGATAAAGTGTCTCACAGATTTTCCTGCCCAGGTTGGCTTTGAATTGTGATCTTCAAATCTCAGCTTCCTGAGTAGCTAGAATTACAGGTGTGAGCCACTTACATCCAGTTGAGAATGATTATTTAACATTTCAGGGGGAATCAAGCAATTCTTGCTCTTTTTGAAGGCATAACAATCACAATAGAAGAATTTGGTGATACATGCTAGTGCTTCTGGAGCTGAAGAGGGAGGACCATTGTGTATAATTCTCCTTTTCCTTTCTACTTAATTAGGATTATCTCTCTCTATCATCTGCTCATTAAATCAGTATTTCAAAAGTCAAGGTATATGTTAATTACATTTAATACAAAATCTGCATTCATTAGACAACATTGCTTTCTTAGCCTTTGATGAGTTCTTTGCAATTGTCATGTTAGGGATAATACAGTAAGGATGATTTTGTTATAAGTCCTACATCTGTAGTCCTATAATCTTTATTATTATTGGTGATGAAAATAAATTTCAAAATTCTAAAAGATCATCAAAACATCAGAGCATCTGTTCGATTGAGCTATTCTCCCTAGGGTATCCTTTTGAATGCAACATTTTTGTAAGCTAAATTTACCTTGGTGTCTTAGTCTATTTGTGCTGCTGTAACAGAATTCCCAACACTGAATAATTTACAAAGAAAATAAGTTTATTTTTCACAGTTCTAGAGGCTGGATTGAGGGACCTGGATGCGCTGAGAACATTCTTTATCTCTATAACATGGTGGATGGCGAGAAAGGGGGAGGGGGACTCATTTTTTTTCTGGTTGGTCTTGGGGCTTGAACTCAGGACCTGGGCAATGTCTCTGGGTGTTTTTACCAAAGGCTAGCATTCTACTGTGTAAACCACTTAAACTCAAGCTCTTGCTTGAGCTTGCTTCAAATCATGATCTTCTGCCTTGTGAGTAGCTAGGATTACAGAGGTGAGCACACTGAGGTATGGCAAGTATTGAATTTTGAGGAAGCTGTAAATTATATTTTCTTTGTTCTAGAGTGCCTCAAAAATGAAACCATTCATTTCCCTAAAACCTGGCTTCTTCTTTTCTTGTGGATGCCAGTTTACAACACGGAAAATTATTATTATTATTGTTATTATTATTGGGAAACATATGAGATTTCATTATTTAATTGGGTTCTTTTAAAAATAATTGTTATTATAAAGGTGATGTCCAGAGGGGTTATAGTTATATAGTCCATTCCTTTTTGGACAATGTCACCCCTTCCCTCACTTTCTTCTAGGTTTTCCCTCCCATCGCCACCCACAAGTTGCATAGTTCATTTTCAACATAGTGTCCAGTGAGTTCTTTTGCTGCATTTGTCACCCTTTGTCCTTCCATTTCTGTGCCACCCCTTACATTCCCAAAGACATAAACGAACAAACAGAACTTCAAGAAAAGAAAACATCAAAAAAGGAAAAAAAAACCCTCTTGGTTTCATTTCCTGGAGTTCCTGGATAATGCTTACTTCGTATGATCAGATGCACTTAGGCGTTGTACCTCTCTGTTCCTCTCCCATGGAGAAGCTCTTGATGCCACGGACAGGATGCAAAATTCTTGTTTTATAGAGGAGTGCACACGTGTTTGCCTTATGTTGTAGTTCCTTTAGTGACCTGTTGTATTTTGTATGGGGTATGAGGAAATAAAAGAAGGCACTGAAATAGGAATAAAAAAGAAATTGTGATTATTCACCTTTTCACCGGGAACTATTATCTGCAGATTTTCATGAGTCTAAACATTTCACGTGTTCCTCTGTCATTTACATACCTTTCCTGCTCATAAAGTTGCCAAGACTCTTATGCGAATGAAGAACCCAGGAGTAGAAATGTTAAGCAGTGCAGAGACAGAGTCAGAGGTGGGAATTAGCTTAATCTTCATATTTGCTCATATTGAACTTTCCTAGGCGGGCAGTGCTGACTCCTGCTCCGATTAATTCATTGACCTCGTATTATCCTATAAAAAATTACTTAAGGAAATTTTTATTTGATGCTGTGAGGTTATTATATGACTCTCAATAGCAAGCTCTGACCATTTTTCTTCTTCTAATATTTATGCTTTCTTGTAGTTTTTAACTTTCTCTTTCTTTTTTCTTTTTCTCCCTGTCATCAAACTTTACTAAATTCCTTCTGTGGGTAGAAAGCTTTTTAGATTTGAAGGGGAATAAAGATACATAAAACATGGTTTTTGCCTGGAAGAGCTTTGGAAGGGAGCAAGAGGTAAAGTAGTGACTGTAAACCATGAATCACTGTTTGATTAAATACTGTCATCATGATATTGGTGAACCTTCAGTGAGACAATTGTCTGTTAGTAGGTGCTCTTGGGATGTGGGACCTACCTGGACTGGGATTTAGAAGCAGCTGTTATGCAGAATAAAAAATATTATAGCAAAGCCCAGAAGATTTTGAGTCTCATGGTAGAATTTGTCTTGGGTGTGTAAAGAGTTTTCTTGAGTCTCAATGTCCTCATCTATAAATTAAGAAGCTCATATATAGTTTTTTTTTTTTTTTTGCTTATCAGTTGTGGGGTTTGAACTCAGGACCTGGGCACTGTCCCCGAGATATTTTGTTCTACTACTTTGAGGCACAGTTTATTGTTTTCTGGAGATAATAGTCTCACAGACTTTCCTGCTTAGCCTGGATTCTCAGCTCCCTGCCTCCTGAGTACGTAGGATTAAAGGCACGAGCCACCAGTGCCTGGCCATGTGTAGTTTTAGGGGATTACTTGAGCAAGTACCTAGGTTCTCCAATAGTGGTCAATGTTACTGTCTCTTGCTATTGACATTGATATGGTTTCATATCTATTATTGGATTATAAAATATTGGTATGTTAGCCTCAGTAGATTCATTATATTGTTTTACTGACTCATCCACTTTGATAAAGCAAAAAATTATGTTGAGTGGCCCTAGAAAATGAATTGAGGGCTTCCTCTAGACCAGATCCCGGAGGAACTGAGGACTTCCACCTAGCAGCCTATAAATAATGAACACTGTCAATGATTGGCTAAGTGACTGTGGAAACACATCACTGAGAAGAAGCCATGCTCTGGGGAAACATGGTGAATACAGCCTTGTGAGAGATCATGGAGGGGACCCAGAAAAACCCTTGTCCAAATTTCTGTACCACAGAAAATGTGAGGTAACCAAGAAGTCTTGTTTTAACATGTTATGTTCTAGCAAGCAAGGGTAGGAGCGTAAGATGGTACTCAGCTACAGATAATGACTGTTCTATTTTGATTAAAAAATACTGTCTAGGCAGAACACCAGTGACACATGACTGTAATCCTTGCTATTCAGGAGGCTGAGACCTGAGGATCATTGTTTGAAGCCAGTCCACACAGGAAGGAGAGTCATAGCTCTGCGTCTGACTTTTTGCTGGTTCATTGGAGACAAGAGTCTTCCAGACTTTCTTGTCCAAGTTGGCTCCCAACAATGATCCTCAGAACTCAGCCTCTTGAGTAGCTAGGAATATGGGCATTCTAGACCTTTTTGATGACTTTTTACAAACATCCATGTGAAGAAGGAAATCTATTTAGGAATGTGCTCTACCGCTTGCTCTTTTTCATATCTCAGGGGTATCTGTACATGTCAGGCCTTTAAAATCTACCACATTCTTTTTCTAAGTCTGGCGGACATCATGTCCCCAGTGTTCTTTAGAAATAAGTTGGAGAATTTTCATTTAATGGCAGCAACTGGGTCTTATTTTTATCCTTATGCCCTTTAATCCAATATTCTCACTGTTTTCAGCAAAACCTCAGTAATGGGCATTTCTTACATTGTCTTCGTAGTCGGTTATTTCTATTAAAACTGCCATCTCATGTTAAGGTGGTTGTTCTGTGACTCTCAGACCACACTTCTAGGACCTGGTCCTTAATTTATTATATTTGCCTGAAACATTACCATCTTTCAACTGTATTATTGCATGTAATTGTTAACAATGACTATGTAAGCTAAGCAGAACATAATCATTCTATTTTATAAAGGTAGATGTTGAGTCTTAGAGGAAGTTACCTAACTACTGAGCATTCTATGCTGTGACATTGGCTCTGCTGTGTCCTTCATTGTCCCTTGCCTGCTTACGACTGCCATTATGATGTCCCAGGAGACATTTTCTGCATCCCCGCATCTTTGCTCTTTGCCATGACAAAACCTAGTCGGTGTATTTTTCTTTGGCTAAATTAATATATTTACATGAATAGTGGCCTCTCCCTGAATGTTACCTCTCCTGGAGTTATTTGTATAAAAGTTGGTGAATTAATCTAAATAAATAAGGACTATGACAGGAGTTGTGGGAGAAGATTAGAATAGACTTTAATGTACCCTAAACGAGTTTATATGGAAGATCTCTGAATTCTGTCATGCTTAT